GCGGTTCAACTCCCAGCTGCAGGCGTTTTGGCATTAGTGGAGGTGTTGTTACATGTTGGAAATTGTTGGTGTTTTGTTTGGTATTTTGGATTTTGGGGTGCGCGTTCAAAACCAGGATGTCAAAGACATCATGCACTTGAATTTTGGATGATCTTGGATAGCGGAAACACATGTTATTATTGGAGAATCAAGATGACACTCATGGGATTTTGCCTGCGTTTTTGCAAAACATCCACTCGATCTAGTGTTTGTATTTAGGATTCATTGACGAGCTTTGTCGGAAGCATGGTCAGCTTCGTCGGAAGCATGATCATTTGCTCGTTTTTGTCTTGTGGATGCATCACATCACATAACATTCCGGCTGCGCCTCGTCAGTTGATGAATCTTCATTACCTGAGAGCAAAGTGCTTGAATTTACTGTCTTGGACATGTGTGGTTTGGCAAAATCACGAAAGCTAGCATTCTAGCTCAGTTCTTCTTTGCTTTAGCAATTGGTAGTGGAATGAGCTGCGTGCCTTAAAGCTTCATATATCACACTAACCCCCCCCACGGTTCGACACCCAGTTGCGCCGTGTAGCGGGGGTTGGTTGAACGTGTGAACGCGGTTGGTTGGGTGTAAACGGTGGCTTGGTGTAAACGGTGCTGCTGCTGCCGCTCTGCTGCTTGCTGCTGCTGTTTGCTGCTGCCGCTGGCTGCCGCTTTTGTAGCTGCTGCTTTGCTACTTGTTGCGGCTTGGTGCTGCTGTTGCTGACGACGCCGCTGTTGCTGCTGCTTGCTGCTTGCTGCTCTGCTACTGCGGCTTGGTGCTGCGCTGCTGCTGCGTGGTACTGCTGGCTGGCTGTTGGTTGGTGGTTGCTGCTGGCTGCTGGCGGCTGCTGCTGCTGCTGGCTGCTGCTTGCTGCATAGGACTTGTACTTCACTGTTACAAGTTCTTTATCCCTATTTCTTTCGGGTGGTGAATTTACCACCCAGGTTTGCTATAACCATACACCGGCTATTTCCTCAAGACACTCTATTCCCGATACCTTTTACCAGTGCTTATCCTACACTACGGACGCCCTAGTGTATGCACAGTCCTTGTGATGCTTACCCCTCGTTCCGGCTCAAGGCATACATAAGCGGGGGGGTAAATTTACCCCCCAGATTTGCCATAACCATAAGCCGGCTATTTCCTCAAGACACTCTACTCCTTATACCTTGTACCAGTGCTTATCCTACACTGCGGACGCCCTAGTGTATGCACAGTCCTTGTGATGCCAGAAATGCTTACCCCTCTTTCCGGCACAAGGCATACATAAGCGGGGGATAAATTTAACCCCCAGATTTGCAATAACCATAAGCCGGCTATTTCCTCAAGACACTTTATTCCATATACCTTTTACCCGTGCTTTTCCTACACTACGGACGCCCTAGTGTATGGACAGTCCGTGTGATGTCAGAAGTGCTTACCCCTCTTTCCGACTCAAGGCGTGCAAAAGCGGGGGGTAAGTTTAACCATCCAGGTTTGCCGATCACGCATCTTCGTGCCTGCCAACGAGTGCACCCGTGTTGTTCCAATGTACCCTTCCCAGTCGGCGATGTCACATTTACATTCTTTAGCGCAAAGTATGTACGTAGCAACCTTTCTCCCAAAACATGTAATCACTACATGCTTTGCCGACGATGTAACTAGTACATCCGGTGCGATTCGGCTAGCTTTCGACCTCCTCCCCCTGGCCTCAAGTTCGGCCTATTTTCTCCGTGGTTGAAGCTATCTCGCTAACATATGAGCAGTGCTTCTGATATCGACGTAATTTACGTAAAATGTGGGCTAGAAATGGTGATTTGACCTCCGTGCCGATACCCCCAGCACCAAATGAGTTCAGTGATAGATAGCCCTTCCGTGATCACCATGCTGCCACATAGAGGCTGCGCGGACCTTCGGTCTCACGTAGTACTCCCCGGGACCCACCGAAAGGTGAAGGGCTGTGGGAAGCGTCACGTTGAACGGGTCAAGCAAGGTGTCCTGTCTTGAGACGCAGCCATTTCAATCCTGACCAGAAAGGAAACTCATCAACCCCGAGCTGTGACCTCATTAGTACCAGATTAGTATAGGCCATCATCCTGGCCAAGAGGAATAGATCTGGGATGATATGGGTATGATGATCAGACACTATCGCCTCACCTGAAAGGATTTTCATAGAGAAATAGAATCAAAGGGACCACCGAACTCCGAATCGTCTTGGCGCTTCGGTCTCCACGAACTTCTCCCCACACTACTGGTAGAGTATTCTCAAAGAATCTTTGTTGCCATTCCCAGGTGATCTGTGTGGGCAGCCAGGGTCAAAGCCTCTTGGCACTGAAGAGTTTGGCTGTATAGCTGATAGTCATGAAGAGTGTATCATGTTGGATGCGACCATGTTGGTTGCCCTTTTTGACGAGATTTTTTGGATCTAAACAGATTCATATCGATCTGGATGTTCCCCAAGTCGAGAACCGTTCAAGAGATGGTCCCCTCGGTAACTGACCGTGGATGTCAGGGGCTCGGCTGCTCTTTGATGTTTCTTTTGGGTAAGCTGAGCATTGGTACATCGTTCAAAACCTAGGTGTTCATATTTAGTAAGGACATGGTCATAAGGACACTGCGCCTAAGCCAAAACCTGATTTGTGTAAGGTTGCGTAAGCAGTTTCTGGCTATAGCACTTGCGTATGCTAAGTGCGTAAGCTTCACTTCTCCAAGTAAAAAGATGCAAAAAGTCAAGTGCGTAAGCTTATGTTGTGGTGTGGTGGAGAAAGTTTGTCCGGATTTGTTTGCGTAAGCTCCGAGTAAGCACTTCATGTCCCCTGCATGGCGCGCAAGCTGAAATGTGAGTCGCGTAAGGAAAGCTCAAACATTTGCGTAAGCGCCTCCTTACGACCCTTTGCTCCAAACACAGGTTTTTAACAACGCTCAACTACCTCCAGCATCCGCTTGGTATGGACCTCTCAGACCGCTTGGACGTCGCGAAAGGTTTACCCATTCTGCGTGGCTTTCTGGTGGCACTGGCGCAGACAGTGGTCTGTCAGGCAGTCGTGGGTTCAAGTCTGGATCGATGTTCGTTTTCGACTCCAAAAGATGGAAGTGGCTGAAAGTGGACTCTTTGGCTCTATAGATGAAAGACTGTTGGGCCTCTATACACATTGGCTTTCTTCCAGTTGTATCTTTCTGAGTTGGAGTCGATCAAATGTGTAAACTCTCCAACCACAACACATTCCACCCCTTTGGAGTCTTTGACCCTAAAACAGACTCTTTGTCGATCACCGATCTGATCGAAGGAGCCGGGTTGAAGATCCGAACCGAACCCGAAAGACCGGCTGGGTCCTCGAAAAGAATCGTTCTCGGTCTCGGCCGCGAAGATCCAAGGTCTGGGTGCCCCCCCCCCCACGGGACAACCCGGACTCATGGAGAACTCGCCTCCGAAGTCTTCAGAGCGGAATTCCTCGGGCTCCGGACAGCGACCGAGTCCTGACTCTCTCGGCTTCGAAGGAACCGAATGGAGGAAAGCCCGGACTGAAGCCTACCGAACTGGAGCCTGTGACCTGGAGCCCGAACCGAAAGGTCGCCAGGACTTCAACCATATATGGAGGCCCCAGACTTCACTGTTTCAAACACGGAAGTGGACCGACATGGAAGGTCTCCGCTCGTTTCGGGGCAGATCGTCAGTTCCACGACATCAGACCGACGTGGGCGGTCAGGCGATTTGCCGCTACACCACACCAATTGAGATTCAACATGGTAAAGAGCTGTGTGTCTTTGGCATGCAGTGAGGTGAGGGATCTTTGATTATAGCTTGGAGGCCAGAAAGGATCCACTGCCACCTCCTTTTCTACAAAGTTTGTGGGCAGTTACTAGATGTTAGCAGCTTCACAGAAGTGCTTATAAGCATTTGTCATCATTTTGTCACGACCATTTTGACGATGGGTTGTCAAAATCATCTTCATCCACTATGAGACTACGAGTGGGTGCGAAGTGAAATGCAACAGAGCAATGGCACGACAACTTCAGACACTCCCAAAAGGTCTAAATCTTACTCCGTGGGTTTTGTGACCTCTAGATGGTAGGAGGGTATGCCGGCATGATCTACAACCAGTGGACATGGAAATCATCTCAGGACTCACGAAAATTGAAAACAGAACGGCCCAAATCTCTCTATGTTCTTTTTGCGAAGGTTCTTTGGTGGTTTGGCCATCTGAACCATTACCCAAGCTCTGTTCCAAGCTCTGCAGGCTATTTGAACATCAACTTGTGCTACGAGTCCTTCCGCGATGTGAAGGTGGCGTGGATTCGGAGATATGATGGTGCCAAGGCTTCGAGCTATTTGCCCTGGATGCTTTGGTCGCCTGGCCACAGGGACTGGAGGTACCACCGGGACTGGAGGTCGCCTCGCACGATCCATGGGCTCTTTCAAGAAGAGTGGGTCGAACCACGCCAGAGCACGTGGCACATGAAGGTCGTCTAGATGCATTGTGCTGAATCCAAGGATTTGGAACGGAGGCAACCTGATCCTTTTCCTCCTGTTGGTTGCTCGGTGTCAGCCAGAGAGGCAGATTGAGAAAGTTGAAATAGTTAAGATTTGTCTCCAGAGAGTCTCAGAATCTACGAAGCTTTGTACATGGTGAGGTTGTCTTCTGATGAACAAATTCCAGCCCCGTTGACGCTCGGTTGACGCTCATGATAGATGTCCAGGATCTCCAACATACTGTCTCCTCGAATTTGAATGAGCCTGGTTCTTGAAAGAAAGTCAGAGGGATTCAGAGGGGTCTTTTCTACTCGCTGGAGGTAAACCTACCTAATGTGATGAGAGGCTCATGAGGGAGTGGAAAAAGAAAGGAACCACTAGACCCTTCCACACGCGTGAAAATCGCTTTCAAATGTCCCAGATTGGCTGTTGAAGGCTCCGAGGACTCCAAAATACTTCCAGTCCCCAAGATGTTGAGTGCCTCCAAGACATTCTGAGCTTCACCCTGCTGTAAAATGTGCAATGGACTTGATCTTCTTGCTGTTTCATTTTCTCTTCAAACTCGTGAACTTCAAAAAGGATCAACAAGAACGTGTCGTTGAAGTGTGGCTGTTTTTTGATCATGTTGGTTCCCACAGTGGCAAGGCAAGCAGCCGAGGCCTTCCCATTGCTTTGGCTCTTAAACTACTGTGGCTGGAGCCAAGCCAGCCTGTCCGTCTGATCCGGCCCTTCTGGACCGAAAGTGGCCTCCCCACGCTGAACAGCCTTGCTCAAGTGCAAGTAGTATCAAACAGTTGCAAAACGACCGCCACCTTGGGTGATCTCTCCTTCTTGCATGATTTTGGTGTCCAGTCGGGTGGGGCCCTGAAGAATCCTTAACGAAAAGCCGGTCTCCGCGCGTGTGTCGCGCACGATCGGAAGAAATACCATGCAGACGAAAAGAGCTGCTCACGCTGAGGGTGAATGAAGCCTATGTGATTTTTTGTTCTGATGATGCTGACAAAGCATGATGCTCTCATCAGCATCATCGACATTCACAATAAAATTGACAGTGATAGTTTTATGTATTTAGATTGTTTTGGTTAAGGTTTGATACTGGGCTTGCGCAGCGATCCTACTTTCCAATTGTCTTGGAAGCTGCCCGCAGAGTCTTTTGTGATGAATGAAATTGGATTTTGAGTCATAAACCATCATAAACCTCCCCATTTGGATGCACGGACTTGTGGGAGACTGCGCCCCAACAATTCCTGGGCTATCCCTTCGACTAGGGGGTCGAAATGGCAGCCTCCCTTTTCTAATACACATGCACAGTGATATGCAGTTTGTGTTGTTGTTGGAGGCACGGGTATGCTATCGCAGGTGCGGATTGCCTTTATACCAGCATCTCTTCAAAATGGCCATGTGTTTGCTCCCTCAACCTCCACAAGATTTGACGACAGACATGTCTTGAGGTCCATGCATTGCGCAAGTCATCACAATTCCAAGTGTTCATGAACAGAGTTTCCGCATCCACGTCTTTTTTTACGGAAAGGGTTCACCTACGTTTATACTCATCACCTACTCCTTGAACCATGTTCCACCAGATCCGAGAACTGACTGGTGCTTAGTAGGGAAGAAGGGAATGAACCTTCACTCGTTCCTTGCTAAGCACCAGTCAGAGAAGGGGCCCCTTTGTCTCTAGGAGTTGGCATCAAACCCCAGACCTATGCGGTCCCGCATTTCCCCGCCGGTCCAGGGGGGAAGTTATGCTCTTGCAGCTGTGAAGCGGCAGCAGTCAGGACTCCCAACGTTGGATTGGAAGTGGTGGAGTGTTTGGGTGAGACCCAAGCCACTGGGTCAATGTCAATGTGATGTAGAGAAAGTGGTTTGGGGGGTTGATTGGAAGTTAACCATGAAGGAATCGTGGCCTGTTTTGTGAGTTTGGACCAGGTTTACCTGCGGGGTCCGGCTGCGGCGGTCCAAACAGGTTGGTGGAGTCGGACCCAAGACCAAAAGGAACCAGCAGGGTTAGAAGTTGTATGAATCGCCTGGTTGTGCAGAATTCAAAGATCCGTGCTTGTTCAAACAAAAGTATATATATATATATAATACAAATTGTTGCAAACACTTGAATGAATGTATACACGCAAATTCCAGAAGAATGTAAACAGTTGAGAGGTTCGAATGGATCCAAGATTCAAATGACTTTTGAACAAACCTCTGTGGCCCCAATCAAACGAAAACCGTAGGTTTTGCCGTTTGCAGAAAAGATACCTTCTCAGAGTGTCGACATCAGGATGTCCTCGTCCACCCCGACCGGACCAGTCCACCCAGGCTGAAAGCGCCTCACGTTTCCTCGAGGCGTTGGGCGTGAGTTTTTGGTCGAGGGAGGTGAATGCAAACAAAGCCGAAAGAAGACAGACATGAACAACACCGAGGGCGCCCAGATGGCGAATCCATGAGTTAGACATGTTCACACATGTTCACACATCATATCATGAGTTATCATGGTTTAGAGGATGGTTTTGGCAAAAAATAAGCCTACAGAGTCAAATATTGTCAAAATATGTCAAAATGCTATGGGTTTTGCTGGACAACTCCCTTGGTTATGTGAGGACAACTGACCGTCATTCCATGCCATGTTGGTCCAGATCCACGTGAAGATGAGTCGGAGAAAGGATATTCATTCGATGACGGGCTCGCTGCTTAGGATATTCATCACGTACCAGGATCGAACGACCACAGTTTCGCATGCGCCGAAACGGGTCGAACGACCATCCAATCCTTTCGTGTTTGCATTCGCCTTTTTCACAAGGATGAGCCTAGGATATTCATCACGTTGTTCATGGGACTTTTCGATGTTCCAAAGTTCCTGGGGGTGGGTAAGGGTGGGAGACCCAATGGCCTAATAGGTTTTGGATGGGTGGACTGGTCTATTGTCCTTCTTCCAGGGGGGTCGTTGCCGAACCATTGCGTCTTCTGTATGGAATCCTGTTTCCCTAAGGAACCGTTGAACAGGAACCATTGAACAGGACCACAATATAGAATTCATTGAACCATGTTTGGCGTCCATGGAAGGTGGGTCCAAACCGAGCCCAACCGGTGAGTCCAGCGGACCGACCCCACACCGAACTCATGGACCCCTGAAAAGACTATAAGATGGAGCCTGAAAACCACACAAGACCACTGGTTTCTGAAGGAAAACCATCTTCTTCTAGGGGGTCAAGACCAAAGGGTCCATGTTAGTCTTCGGGGTGAAATTCATTCGTCCTCCGGTCTGGAAAGCCCCAATTGATTTGCCGCATCGCTAGGAGTGGCAAGGCTTCAAAGCAACTGTCGCCTGGTGAGCGATGCGTTTTTTTCTGCAGGTCGAGTCTCGGGAGGTCGAGGATAATTTGTTCAGGAAAAGGAGGGTTCTTTCACAGTGCCCTGGAAGAAATCATACCGAAGACCACCACCTGGTTTGGTCTGATGAAAACATGGTTATCCAAATCCAAGGGGCCATTTTGGTGGGCCATATTCAAGGCATTCTTTTAAACGTCACCATGACCATGACCAGGGAGTGTATCTCTTTCATTTGCAAACGAAGAAAAACCGCCCGACCGGCCATGTTCACATCGAGTGATGGGTCCGGACGATGAGCCGAACGGCACTGAACGGAGGGTCGGATGGGTCGCGTCTGGATCTTTCATTTAGTATAGCCTTTCCCCGTTTTCTGCGCCTCTGCGCGTGAAGACTCTGCACCGCTCGAGACAGACGAGACAGACTGCACCGCAGGGCTTGGAATAGCCAGGACTTGCCCTGAAAATGGGTTCGATTGACTGAGTCTTATCCTTTCGCTAAAACAATTGAACTTACCTCTTCAATCTGGGATGTTGACACATTTGTACTGGCATCATCAACCTTTCAAAACATCTCAACTCGGAGCCTCCTGAATCCAAAATCAAAGGCTCGAAGGTCGGCTCAACCTTAGTAGGAGATGTGGTGTTTTTTTCTGGAGGGTGCCAATTACGCCATTCTCTCTACCATATCAGTTGCATCGGAGCCTCCAGATCGAAAAAACAATGAAAAGCATTGAAAAGCGACATGACTCTGTGGCATGGTCCACCTTCCAGGCATTCAAAGGGCTCTGAAAGGTCACCCAGGTCAGTTTGCCTCGCTGCTCCGAGGCCACCATTGCCACGAGGCTGCGCGGTTTTCATGCCGGAGGGTCTTGGAGGGAAAACTCATCGGCAGGGGAAGCAGCATGAGACAAGGCCAATGTTTCGTGAGGCTTCCAACGAATCTGTTACAGCTGTTCAAAACGCGAAGTAATTAGGTTGGAAATGGTTGGAAGCTAATCGCTCCTAGGTTGACGCCATCGCTACTAGGTTGGAGGCCATCGCTGCTAGGTAGCTTTTGCATCCTTTTGCTATTGGTCTTGTTTTAGAGTTCTTTTTTTAGTTACTGTACATGGACCATATAGACCCCAAGCAGTTTCAGGATTGATTGTGTAACAGGGCCCATGTGAACCCAGACAAGGCCCGAAGGCGACCAATGCGACCGATGCGACTTGTCTTTACCGAACAAAACACACTGTAAGTACTGACGTTTTTGAACCTCCTTTGAGGCAAAATCCATACATAGTGCCTTAATTAGTGATTCCAGATGTTTGTGGGTTCATGGAATATGTTTTGGAATAAGTTAATTGAATAATTAGCGGGTGGGGGGGGTGAAGGTCATCGTCATCGCTCAAATTTGGCGGAGCAAGTTTTTAAGAGTTACATATCACAAATCAAGCAAACCAAAATAGACCTAGAGAGAGAGAGAGAGAGAAAAGAAATATATATATATATATGAACGACATATCAACTTTATTTCAGAAAGTCACAGGCCACCAGTTCAGCACAGGAACACGATATTAACGGTCACAGGTTGTCTATCTGAACATCTCAGCTGCTTCGAGACCTCAGGATATCACGCCAAGTAAAAGAGAAACAAACATACCAGGACCCTCAAAGGGGTGTCCTGACTGGACTACCCCACACTACCTATAGGCTTCCAGACAGGGCACCCCTTGGAGGGTCCTGGTAGATAGAAAACGCAATGATCTTAACTTCACAAAGTCAAATGCTGCCACAACAGGAACATCAACAGTGTCATGGTTGAACTCGGTTAAGAAATTCTGCAAGAACCAAGGATCACAACTCAAGAAAAAACAAAGAACAAATCCCGAATGTAAAGATGTTGACATGGGTATGCCCTTAAAGGCACCACGGTATTTACAAGCTTTCAGTCTGGCTCCGCTCCGGAGCAGCGCCGAGCCGTTTGGAGATGGACAGCGAGCCTTTTAGAAAGCGCAGATCACTGAAAAAGCATGGTCTTTGAACCAGCAGGTTGTGGGGATTCAGGAACACTTATATACTTTTGCTAGTACTTTTGGTATATTTGAGCCCAACACTTGAAGACATACAAGTGAAGAAACCACCATTTTTTGGAAAAAAAGCCACCACTTCCAACGACCGGCTCCAGGTTCGACCTCCGGCTCCGCTCCCTTGAGCCGATCTCCTGATGCCCAGGCCGGAATCCGGATGGGTGGAGCACTGGACCAGGGCCTGGCCTACCCAGGCCGACCTGCAAAACCACCTGACCTTGGTGAGTTTCCCCACGAAATAGGAAGAACAGATGTAAGATGATGGAGGGTTCGGTGGGGCGCTTATGTTTCAAGGAAAAACTCAGGGGAGTCAGACAGTTCTTACTGAACAGGGTGTCCAATGGTGTGAAGATGTCCGGTGGATCAGAGGCGTTCCAGAGAAAAATCACCCCGACCACAACATGTTTGTTTTGTGTTCTTTTTTTAAATATGCAGTTGTATTACCCTTTGAGGGTGTTGGTTTGTAACTTTTAGAGTGACAGGGTGG